TTACTAATTCCGTTAAAATTTTAAGAATTGCCGTTAGTTCACCGTTAACTTACTCATTGATTTCAATAAAAAAAAGGTCTTAGATCGAATCTCATCCCAATCAAAGTTGGCATGATTAGTACTCTATTTTACTCTTATTAAATTATATAAATAATAATTTAGTAGTTACAACAAAAAATAATACATCTGCATTTCTTTAATTTAAAATTATGTGTCCACAATGTCTTTATTCAAAAAAAAAAAATTATTCATTATCAATAAATTAAATAAAAGAAATAATTTTATTAGTTATATTGTCTTTATTTTTCTTCAATATAAAAATCTTTATATTCAAATTCATTACTCTGTAATTGATTATATTCGCTACATTATCCTTACAATGTCTTTATTCAGTGAAAAAAATTATTAATTATCAATAAATTAATTAAAAGAAATATTTTTATTAGTTTTATTGTCTTTATTTTTCTCAAATGTAAAAAATTTTACATTCAAATTCATCAATTGATTATATTCACTACATTATCTATTATCTTTTTTGTGCACTATTTTTCTAATTAAATATCAAAGTTATAATACTAAATAATTCTATATATTTATTTACCAAGTATTTTATTAATATCATGAAAAAATTTAAAAAATATAATTAATAAAGCCAACCATATTAACTACTTGAGAGATTTTGTGACAACGAGAGTATTCAAATCACACAAGAATTGAAATTGAAGTGAGAACTATCCCGCAATGTCCTTGTTTGACAATCAGCAGTTAGCTGTTAGCTTTAGCGGATTATATTAGCGAATTTGACAAGCGAATTATATCAACGGTTGGTAAAAAGATATTTGAAAAAATTAGTTGTTTAGATTAACATGTAAAATGACCTAAGGGTATACATAATATAATAATAATAATAATAATAATAATAATAATAATAATAATAATAATAATTGTTTTAAAAAAATAAAAAAATATAATTAAGTCAATCATATTAACTACTTGGGGGATTTATTGAGAAAAAGAGTATTCAACTCACACAACAAATTGAAATGAGAAATTATCTCACAATGTCATTGTTTGGCAATTAGCAGTTAGCTCTTCAATATTAGTATATATTTAATATTTTATGCCCTAATTTTTATTTGCTCTCCCTTATGTCCCGTATTTGGTTTCAACCATATCTATACAATTATTTTATTGACAATTATAATCAATCTTGACTATATTATCTTGCATTTGTAAACTTAAAATTGCCTATTTAAATACGCAAATTTTACATTCAATTATCTATGCATGAAAAATTCAAATATAATCTTGCTTTGATATACTTTAAAGTACTTATATAAAAAAAAACATTGGGCATTATCCCAATCGCGCAATAGGAGTAAAAAACTAGTATATATATATATATATATATATATATATATATATATATATATATATATATATATATGGCGGCATTCCTATGAAAACAACTACTCAAGAGAGAGCATACACGCATTGTTAAAATAAATAAAATTATTTTAGCATAGGTTAGAAACGAGTTAATACCCAATATAATCCTCGACTATAGTAATTTTACTCGATTTGGTACTGAATGACTTTTTATACTTAATTTAATCATCGACTTGGATAATTTTACTTAATATAACGAGTTAGCAATTCCGTTTGTTGGCTATTAAAAGAAGAGTTAACATGGTAATTTCTCATCCCTCTCATTTGTCAGATTGCTCTCCTCTCCGATCCATAATTCTCCATCCCTCTTCTTCATCGATGGTAAAATCCTCAATTTCCTTCCCTTATTTATTTGCTTTACTGGGAAAGAAGAAAATATATGAAGGAAAGAATGGCAATGCGCGCCAATGTCATTCTAGAGGAAGAGATTGAGGATGTGGAAGAGATGCTGGATGAATTGCAAAGAAGCTCCAAGAAAAATAGGGATTTTGAAATTAAGAAATGCAACAACTTTGATAGGCAAGCCGCAAGAATGCCTGGCTGTTGCAGAGAATGCTAGAAAAATTGGGTGGATTATCATATGAAAAATGCCTCCTAAAAGACAATCATTATTGTGTGGACCATGGTCCATACAAGTTGTGTGGACCATATTTTGTATACTATAAAATAATGTACATTAAGTATAAAAATGATGTACATTCAACACAAAAATAATGTACATTGTATTCAGGGGATGTACATTATTTTTGTACTGAGTGTACATTATATTGTATAATGTACATTCATTACAAAAATAATATACATTAAGTATATTAAAAATGTACTTATGTTATGGTACACATAACATTGTGTGGACCATGGTTCACACAATAATTTGCCCTTTTGATGGTGTTGCAGTCAGAAACATAACGAGTTTGTTTGTCGAAATCTGGGCCATTGTTGATCAAAATGTTTAATTTGGTGGTGGAAGAGCATGTTCTTTGAGGGGCAAATTATTGTGTGGACCATGGTCCACGCAATGTTATGTGGACCATAATAAAAAGTACATTTTTAATATACTAAATGTACATTATTTTTGTATTGAATGTACATTATACAATATAATGTACACTCAGAACAAAAATAATGTACATCCCCTGAATACAATGTATATTATTTTAATGCCAAGTACATAATCCATCGGAATGATTAACAGGATCAGTCCAAATATTTTATAGGTTCGGTCGGGGCGAATTTTTTTTTTTTTTAAAAAGGCCCCTATATGAAAAAACTAAAATTTAAATTTAATAATACTAAAAAAAATGATAATATCAAATAACAAGAAATAAGATTAGAAAATTTTCAACAAATTTTTAAATACAAAAATAATCATAACAAAAAATTTCTACGTATTTTACTTGATGCAAAATCATCTATAATTGCATCAAGATTAATATTCTCTAGCATATCTTTCTCAATACACAAAATCACCAAACCATTAAATCTTTCTTGTGACATTGAAGATCTCAAGTAGGTTTTCAATAAACACATTACAAAACTTACAAAATAAAATAAAATAAAACCAATCTTCATATAATAAATCTAATAAATTTACAATTTCATTATACATAAGAATTCTAAAAATCCTAAGAAATAGAATTAAAAGTCTCAACTCTTAAAAAACAAATCAACAATTCCTAATCTGCAATTCCTAAATCCTAACAAATAACAATTCTTAATTTCATGACTTACAACCTAAATACCTAATCTGCCATGCAATTCCTAACAAAACAACATCTGCTCTGCAATTCCTAACAAAACAACAATAAAACAATACGGCATTCAACAAGGCTAAGGGCGGCGTATTGCAAATTTGCAATTGCAATTGCATCATAGTTTTCAAAAAAAAAAAAAAAAAAAAAAAAAAAAAAATCTTAAATCATAAAATCCTTTGCAAATTGCAATTGCAGATTACTGAGATTAAGTTGGCAAACTAGAGAGTGACAAAGGTGGAAGGCGAGGGCGCGAGGCAGAAGACTATTATTTGGCTTCTGAGCTTTTAATAACTTCATTATTACCGTTGAAAAGAATTGAATGATTGCTGTGGACTGTGGTGTACGTGCGACCGGTGAGGCAGAGGGCAGCGTGGGTGTACAATGTCTCTTATTCGGTGTTCCGTCTTCTCGTCTTCCGTCTATTCTTCGTCTTTTTTTAATACATACAAAATACTAAATTACTAATTTACTAAGTACGGAGTAATATATATATTATATAATATATTAATATATTGTATGGCCCCCCTCTAGAGATGGGACCTCGGCAGGTGCCCAGCTTGCCCATGCCCATAGGCCGACCCTGATGATTAAGTACAATGCATGTATCTGAGAAGTCAGTTTCCTATCCGAATGGTTGCTTACTGTTCGAATGGTTAATGACCTTCAAACAGTTATCTTTGATTTTTCAGAGTCAATTGTTCGAAAATTAACTTCTTGATTCCGGAATTGAGTACTTTTCAGTTCCAACCTTCCGTAAAATTTATATTTTTCAATTAATTTTCTACCAAACTAAAATAATATTTATAATTCTACAACTCCAAATATTATTTAATTAAGTTTTTTATAGTAGTACATCTGAAACATTAATCTCCATTACTATATAAATTTCTAAGACAAAAATATCAAGGGTCGGATACTAAAATTTATCAAAGATTGGAATCTACCCTCTAAATTGGAGAGAATGCATTTATTTGTGTTAAATAATATTTAGAAGGAATAAGGTTCAAATTGGCCACTGAACAAAATTTGAAAGTGCAATTAAGCCACTGAAGAAAAAAAAAAAAGGTGCAATTAAATCAAACACTTAGCATATTACCATCAATTAAACCAAACACTTAGCATATTACCATCCATTTGTCACGTTGCCTGCTTACATGGATGGTGAGTTGACATTTTTTAAATAATTTTTAATAATAAATTTTAAAAATAAAAAATAAAAAACACTTATTTTAATTTTATTTTTATTTTTAAATTTTATAATTACAAATAAAAAAAAATCACGTTCAGTTGGCTAATTGCACTTTCAAGTTACGTTCAGTGGTCAATTTGAACCTTATATTCTATAATATAATTATTGAGAGTGATGTATAAAATTGTATAAAAACTGTCCTATATCATAATGCAAGACTAAGAAAATGTTCACATCAAGTTATTGATTCTTTACACTTGATCTCAACTAGGTCAATTTTTTATTTTTTTTAAAAATTTATTATTTTTTAAATTTATTATTAAAAATTATTGAAAAACTCCAACTCACCATCCACATAAGCAGACAACCCGATAAAACAGATAGTAACTTGCTATTAAGTGAAATTACATACATTTGGAGTGTTCAATGATCTAATTGCACTTTTTTTTTTTTTAATTTAGTGATCTAATTACACTTTCAAGTGACGTTCAGTGGCCAATTTGAATCATAATCCTAAAAAGAATAAAAGAAAAGCAAGACATTTTGAAACATAAGGAGGTGCTATTCAAGTCAATCATATACATTTGGAAGGCTCAAAATCTAGAAATACAAGAATGGCTCTCACAGTCCTAAAAAATGGTAACCATGGCTACAAATCCACTTAAGTTTCATAATGGGTCACCCACCCCCACAACCTACATACTAATCCAGAAAAAGGTGGGAAAATTAGTACTGCACTATTGCATGTATTTGTCTGGTAGGATTTTACCACTCACAATATCTCTACCATTTAAGGAAGAATAAGCATAACCATGATGCATATTTGATCTCTTTCATTTTGGTGGCTCAGGACTCACTTTTGCAACGTACTACCATCTTACTTTCTAGCATCTTCACTTTGTTGAGCAATTCTTGTATGGTCTCAGAAGCATCCTAACCACAGAAGCAATAGAGGCCATGGAATTCCAATCAAAATCAAAATCAAAATAAAAGTTAAAAGGGGTAAAATAAAACTCATGAAATTACATAAAATTCCACTTTTATTCTACAGCTAATGTAACATTGCTAACATTAAGAGGATGTTTGGTAAATGGTTGTTAGCTGATAGCTATTAGCTAATTGGGTTAGTGAGTTTGGCTAGTTGATAACATTAACTGATTGGTAAATTAGTTGTTAATTGATAGCTGATTACATACAAACTGACTTTCTCAAAAAAGCTAATCGAAAAAGCTATTTTGACCAGTTTTTAGAATTTTAGCATTTTGAAACAAGTTGTTACAAAAAGCTAATTAATCAGACATTTATATTAATTGTTTAACCAGTCAAACAACTAATAGTGGTCAAATAAGTCAAAATTAACTAATAGGCTAACTCTTTTACCAAAGAGCCTAAGTATATTATGACTTGATATTGTCACATTTAGTTCTCTTATGTTTCCTTAAGGCTGATAATTTTACATTCTCAATTATCTATTCTTTTTGAAGTTCGTAAATGGCATAATAAAACAATATAACATTAAAAATTTAATTTTTTCGAAAAAATTTCCATCAAATTGTTCTTTATTACGCATTTATATAAACATTTCTTTATATTATAGCTACTGTTGTGAAATTAGATTACCAAATGTGCAATATTAGTAAAAGTTGTAGAATTAAATATGGTAAAATTAAAAGTAAATAAGTAAATGTAGGAATATCACAATCACAATATTCACGTAGCAAAAACTGATCTTTTCACTAACATAAAAAACTAACCTTTAGTCTTTTCCTTAATTTCTCTTCCTCTTCTTCCCTTTGATTTCTTTCTTCTGCAAACTTATCAATGAAAACTTGTAGTTCTTCGTCTATTAATCCCGTCCTTTTCCCTGCTTCCACGAGCTGATAGCGGAGCGTAACGATCAATGTTAAGTCCAGTTAGAACTCCATTTATGTGCTCAAGCAGTGAAGCATGAACAATACTTATAAAAATTTTCATTATGGTATGTGGATATATCTCAGACATTTCCAAAGACCAAAGCTAGAGATGTCAAAACAAGTTGGCGGGGCTAAAAGGTACACCAACCAAAATATCAAAGCCTGTCCCGCCTTTTTCATGGGGCAGAGCGGGCTAACCCCGTTTTCATGGCTCTAGCCAGAGCCAAAGCCAAAACCAAAGACTTAAATTTTGAAAATGACAAAATAATTACTCCGTAATTAATTAGCTTTTACCTTGTTTTCCAGAATCCTATTTCTGTCCCTTTCGTACTGCAATTCTTTCAGAGCATCCTCCATACTGCAAAAAGTAAAAACAGTTAAAAGGAGTTGGGGGGCTCAAGTTCACACACCCAAGCACACGGTACAAATTTCTCATAACTAACGGACAAATATTATTATTCACCTTTTCTTGAGCTCAATATTCTCCTCCGTCAACTTTTGTATCAACACCAGATGAGTATAATCTAATTGTTGTTCGTCTCCGGTGACACTTGTCATCTGTTCTTGAGGAGACACATTAGAATACAAATATGAACAAAGGGCAAATCCCTTTAAAGGAAAAGTATTTATAGAAAGGAAAAAGTGTAAATAAAATAGGTCACTGAACTTCTTGCTTTTATGCAATTAGGTTACTGAACTTAGAAAATGTTAACTGAATCATCAAACATGCAAAATATATATAATTGAGACATTTTTTCAATTTTTCTAAGATAAAATCCGATCATATTGCTTACATGGTATGTAGTACTAAGAGCTGTCTTTTCATCTATCATACTAGTTGGGAGTAAAGATTAAAATGTTTTTAACTCAAATTGTATTGAAAGAAATCAAAAAAATGCTCCAATTACACATATATATTTTACTTTTTTGATAGTTCAATTGCACACTTTTTAAGTTCAGTGGCTTAAGTCTAGTGGCTTATTCGACACTTTTTCCTTTAACGACTCAGCACAGAAATATTTATAGAACATGTAACTCTTTTGAAAGAGGGAAACATGTGAATAATTAAGGAGAACTTACAGTCACAGCTAAGCTTCCTCCAGCGTTTCTCTCAGTTTTCCTGTTAGATGGGGGGCATTCTTGCTGAGGGTTTGATGCCAGCTGGGATGGGTTTCTTGTTTCTGTCCTACACTCAACTGTAGCAATCTCTTCTTCTTCACTGGTGTCTGCAACTGGTTCATGTTCCACTTTGGTTTTCAAATTCGATTTTTTGTTAGAATGGTTATTATTATTCGGGTTTAATTTGGAGGAAGATTTGGTTTTAGCAGGCGGAGAGCTATTTTTCTTGTCACGTCTCTTTGCATAACCAATTAGATGACAGTTTGTCAACCTGCAAATGGACCATAGAACATTTAATAATAGAAAGCTGAACATTATATTATTATTGTATGAATAATAGGAGCATTTGCTGACCAATATTCCTTCTGTATGTACTGTAAACGATTCTCAAGTCTTGTGAGAACTATAGTGCGCTCAAAACCCTGCTTATCATGAGCAGGCTCTATGAAATTAGCTTCTAAGACGCCTGTTATACACAACAGATAGAATGTAAATGGCATTAGAAACAAGAGTTCTACCATTAATTCTTACTCCCTCATTTTTTGAATGAAAGTGTGTGTTAGAGTGTCAAAATGGGTCAAAACCTGCGAGCCAGCCCTAAACCGCTTTGCGGTGGGGCGGTTAGGGTTGAAGTTGGCCCACGGGGCCTGGAAGCCCGCCTAGGATTTTGAAGAATTCTAGCTCGCGGGCTTCGCAGGCAGGCAAGCAAAAACACGCAAAAAATTTCAACCCGTAGTGGGGTGGGTCAATCCGTATTCACTATTGGAAATTATGGAATTTCCGACCACCTAAAAGTGATTTAAATCAAGTCGAAAGCCTTGTTCCGATCACTTTTGGTATCCGGAAAAGCCTTTGTTACTATTTTCAACCACTTTTTTACTTTCAAATTGATTTAAGATCACTTAGATGATCGGAAATTTCATAATTTTCAGCAGTGATTTACGCAACTAAGTGTGAGAGTAAAAGTTGAAGATAGAGAATAAGAGTTGACATAGTATGTGTTTTTTGAAAAAGATATAATACCTATTACACCACGGCCGTCACTTCCGGCAGCATTCCAAACCCTCCAGAAAGGCTGATGACAGGAAAACATGCATATTTGTGATCAGAGAAACCTAATTAACTCTGATCTGATGTAAAAAGAAAAATGGATCGGAGCTAGCAATTAAGCTTACCTTAATGAGCCTATTCTTATGGTAGACGTTGAATCCTTGTATATCAATGTGATATTTGGCATCTTTTGCAAAACCAATAGTCACTACGGCAAACAACTGGTTACATACATACATACATACAAAGGGATTAGGTAGCTAGAAGTGAATGATGAGCGAGTTTAAAAGCATAGCATATATACATACATTTGGATCCTTTGGAGCATCACTACCAACAATAGGTATTGGCCTATATGTGGTTTCTTTGGAAATCATCATATCATGGGTTACATTATGATGCTCAACATCCCTCCCTCTCAGAATGATTTGAAATCCTGCTGGCAGCTTCAGATACAGTATGGATGCATAACTCTAGCAAAAACAATCAAATTATTTTTTTTTATAGGCAGCAAATGATTGAGTGCAGGTCAGGTGCAGGTTCAGGTGCAAGCTAGATTGAGATATATATATATATATATATATATATATATATATATATATATATATATAATTGATTACCCTTAAAGAATGTTGGTATGTCAGAAAATGCCTAGAGTTGGGGTAAGTTTTTGCCATCGCGATCTTCTTCTCATCCCGGTTAACACCCTTTATTTGAATGTCCTGAGCCAAACAAACAAGACAATAAATATTGCGAGCGGATTATGGAACATAATTGAAGGGGCCGACCCATGCCTGCATGCAGGGTTGGAATTCAACCTTTTGGGAAAAAGTAACAACTTAATAATTAATTAATTAATTAATTACATGTTTATCTGCTTCAAAATCAAGTTCTGGTAATCCTTCATCATCCTCCCAAAGATTGTATATGATGATACGAGTACCTTGATCATTCAAAAGATTGAACTACATACATACAAAATTACAACAAATTAAATGGTGAACTTAATTAGCAAGCTAATTAATTAAGCAAACATGAATATTACTAAAAGGAAACTCAAGTCCAAGACTAGGGATAATATATATATATAAAATAGCCTTACCTGGTCTAGGAGATCATCTTCACTTACATATGGAGACCACTGCACTATAGTCTCCAAATTCCTTTTCCAATCATTGGCAGAAGATCGAACCATCATATCCCAAGACTCTCCTCTTTTTTCAAAATCAATCTTCACCAACAATAAATTTTAAGATTTACTTGGTCAAACATGCATGGAAAGGAATAGCCCATATATATTTTGATTCATAAAGTTATAGAAAGGAGAAAATGCCACAAAAGTATAGATGGGGAATGCATTTTAGCCTCAAAATCCATTCCATTTGTATAGATCTAGAAACCGTCCCCCAAGGAACACTCTACTAATTAAACATATTAAAAAGGGAAAAAAAGAAAAAGATAATCATACCATGGGAACAACAATATCTTCTTTCCCCGTTCCCCTTAAAAATGTGTAAGATAGCATCCCAATGCTTTGCGTTGGGCTACAGATAAGAAAATTAAAGAACAAAATTAAACCTTTCTGATGAATATAATCAATCATACAGTGGTTGATCAAATATATAGTAAAAAAATCACACAAGTAAGCTAATTTTAAGTATGAATCGATCGAAGCTAAGAGTGAGTACCTTCTTCCATCTTTCCCCTTGCAACGAGAGAACACAATCACATCTGCTCCAAGCCTCATACTACTTGTCTTGAACCCATTCCCATCTGTTAAATTACCCAAAAATCAATACGATCAAGCTAAGGAACATCTGAATATATATAATCATAACACTTGCATTTCGTTAGCCCCTAGGCATAGCTCAATATAATGGTCGAAAGGTTGAGTGTGGGTGTAGTGACCTAACAAGTACCCGAATTTCTTGAGGCAAAAAGCATGCACTCAAAGGCTTCCCGATTTATTATCTCCTCTCACATAATGGGCAAAAAGCATGCACTCAAAAGTTGCCTCACTGAGGCAGGTCCACGATTTACCTCCTCTCGGGAAAGGGGTTTAGGGTTTAAACCTAATACTTGCATATATTGTGTTTACAGAAAAAGCTAGCTACGAAAAAGTTATGTAACTCACATTGGCCTATGGTATTCGCCAATTTGCTTTTGGAAGAATAGCCGAGAGACATGCATTGACGCATTCTATCAGGATTCATTCCACCACCATTATCTGCAGACCAAATATATGTAACCATTGATGCAAAACACAGAAAATCTTATCTGGAGCAGCTGCAAACTAAAGAATGAATGATGTACTATACGTACCTTCAACCAGTAACATACTATTCCTATCTTTATTACTTTTCAGCACATCGACATTGACATATGTTGCTCCATTGCAGACCTGGACCACGTGTGTATATATGAGTCAAATTAAGAAGTAAATTTTGGGACTAAGCTAGCTAGCTAGCTAGCTAGTTCGATCTAATAAAAGGTGCTATACAACATACATATATACCTCATCTAAAGCATTGTCTAGAAGCTCTGCAAAAGCTGTATGCATGCCAACAAATTTATCAGAAAACATATATATATATATATAGACAAATATAAGATCACCCATTCCTGTAAAACTAATTTCGTTACCTCCCAAAGCCCACTTGTGACTTGTGGCATTTGAATGTAAGAACTTTGGATGGACTCTGACATGATCCATGGCAACTGCATGTATGCGATCGATATGGTTGTGACCAAACAAAAACCAATGATTCTACAAATTCAGAAGCCAAAACAGAAAATATATATATATATATATATATATATATATATATATATATATATATATATATATATATATATATATATATATATATATGAATTCGTGCATGATTATATTATTACCGGAATGAGAGGGAGGAGCGGGACAAATGGTTCCCTCATAATCCCCAGCTTTCCAGAACTGCTTGCAGCTCTGAAACAATGGAGAAGCAGCTTCTGCCTTCCGTTTGAGTTGCTTGTTCCCCGAACCCGAACTCGAATCCGCCATGCTAGTAGGGTGAGAAGTACTCAACGGCAAGGCGGTTTGGATCTGGGAATTTAACCGAGCGCGCTCATGGGGCGGGAGAGGATCCAAGAATCCCAAGGGTAGCACCGACTCCATCAGTCTGGGCTTCTTCCGACGATGACAACTTGCTTCCATGTCGTCCGAGTCATCATCATCATCGTCTTCGTCGAAATCGGCCAAACGGTTGTCCAAAGAACCACAACTACTGCCGCTGCTGATGCTTATGCAAATCGCATTAGCCTTCCCAGCGGGTTCGACGACGTTCCGAACTTCCTCCAAAACTTCTTCCTTGACGATCACGTTAGGTTTCATGGTGGGGTGGAAGCGATTCGTTTTCTTAACTGTGAAGAAAGCCAGTCCGATTGAGAAACTAGGGTTTTCGGAGAATACGTGCAGATAAACCCTGGACGATGAGCGAAACAAAAAGAAAGAAATTGAAGCTTCTTTGTTTATCTTTGAACGGATTTATTCTTTCTAATTTCCACGCTCGCACTCAAAAATAGCACGGGAATGTAGGAATTACATATATCAACATAGCATGGTGGTTTTTATAAGGAGGCGATTGGGATAATGCCTAATTTTTTTTTTTTTTTAAATAAGTACTTTAAAGTACATCAAGGCAAGATTGTTTTGGAATTGTTCATGCATAGATAGTGCTGTCAATACGGGCTGGCGGGGCGGGCCGCGGGCCTAAACGGGGCGGGCTAAAAAAGCCCGCTCCTAAACGGTCCTAGGTTTGACAGGCCCGGACCGCCCCGCCAATGGCCCGCGGGCTAGGCGGGCCCCCGCCCAAAACCTTTTTTTTTTTAAAAAAAAAATTGTTCATCAAACATCAAATTAATTAAAATAAATTGATACATAAGTCATAACTCACATGAAACATAATAATCAAACATAAAGTTCAAAGTTCATAGTTTATCAAACATCAAACTAGTCACAACTACAAAGTCCAAAAATATTACACATAAAAATAAATTTAAAGTGCATATTTTATATAAAAATGTTTTATATAAAATAAAATAAAATAATGGCGGGTAGCCCGCGGGGCGGGCTTGGCGGGCCGCGGGCCTAAGCGGGGCGGACCAAAAAAGCCCGCTCCTAAACGGTCCTCTATTTTCAAAACCCGCCCCCTACCTAAGTAAGGGCGGGGCGGGCCGGCCCGGCGGGCTAAGCCCGTTTTGACGGCTCTATGCATAGATAATTGAATGTTGAATTTACGTATTTAAATAGGTAATTTTAAGTTTACAAAGGCAAGATAATATAGTTAAGATTGATTATAATTGTCAATAAAATAATTGTATAGGTATGGTTGAAACCAAATACAGGACATAAGGGAAAGCAAATAAAAATTATGGCATAAAATATTAAATATATACTAATATTGAAGAGCTAACCACTGATTGACAAATAAGGACATTGAGAGTTAGTTTTCCACTTTAATTTGTTGTGTGATTTGAATACACTTTTTGTCAATAAATCCCCAAGTAGTTAATATGATTGGCTTCATTATATATTTTTATTTTTTATTTTTTAAAAACAATTATTATTATTATTATTATTATTATTATTATTATTATTATTATTATTATTATTATTATTATTATTATTATTATTATTATTATTATTATTAAATATATGTATACCCTTAGGTCATTTTACATGTTAATCTAAACAGCTAATTTTTTCAAATATCTTTTTTCCAACCGTTGATATAATTCACTAGTCAAATCCGCTAATATAATCCGCTAATGATAACCGCTAACTGCTGATTGTCAAACAAGGACATTGCGAGATAGTTCTCACTTCAATTTGTTGTGTGATTTGAATACTCACTTTGTCAACAAATCCCTCAAGTAGTTAATGTGATTGACTTTATTAATTATATTTTTAAATTTTTTTCATGGTATTAATAAAATACTTTGTAAATAAATATATAGCATTATTTTGTATTATAACTTTGATATTTAATTAAAAAAATAGTGCACACAAAAAAGAAAATAGACAATGTAGTGAATATAATCAATTGATGAATTTGAATGTAAAGAATTTTTACATTGGATAAAAATAAAGACAATATAATAAAATTATTTCTCTTAATTAATTTATTGATAATGAATAATTTTTTTTTAATAAAGACATTGTAGGGACAATGTAGCGAATATAATCAATTGATGAATTTGAATGTAAAGAATTTTTATATTGGAGAAAAATAAAGACAATATAACTAATGAAATTATTTTCTCTTATTTAATTTATTGATAATGAATATATATTTTTTTTTTGAATAAAGACATTGTAGTTTGTAGACACATAATTCTAAATTAAAGAGATGCATATGTATTATTTTTGTTGTAGCTACTAAATTATTATTTTTTATTTTAATTAATTTAATAAGAGTAAAATAGAATACTAATTATGCCAACTTTGATTGGAATGTAATTCGAACCTAAGACCTTTCTTATTGAAATCAATGAGTAAGTTAACCGTGAACTAACCGAAATTAAGGGAAAAGATAACGGATAGTTATATTCATTAAGGATAAATTATAAAATCTTAAGGAAAAATTAAAATCTGATCAATCTGAGCGGTTTATTTGATTAAAAAATTTGACCGCCATTTTTTCTACCCATTATAGGCCTAACTCTCTTGGGCTCTTATTAGTATATATAGTAGATAGAAACTTTGAATGGAATAAGATTCGAACCTAAGACCTTTCTTATTGAAATCAATGAGAAAGTTAACGGTGAACTAACAGAAATTAACGGAAAAGATAATATTTAACGGAAAAGATAACGGATAATTATATTCATTAAAGATAAATTAGAAAATCTTAAGGAAAAATTAAAATCTGATCAATCTGAGCCATTCATTTGATTAAAAAATTTGACCGCCATTTTTCTACCCATTATAGGCCTAACTCTCTTGGGCTCTTATTAGTATATAGTAGATAGTATAGTAGATATATATAATATATATAATATAATATATAGTAGATAGATAAAGCGAAATTTGACTGATTTCAAATTTCAAAATCAAATTTTATATATATCTAGGATAGACGAAATATAACACTTCTGTTTTAATATATATATATATATATATATATATATATATATATATATATATATATATATATATACAAATGAGGACAACAATATATAGAGGAATGTGAGGACAAATAATGGGCACACAACAAATTACTATCATGCACACAATTTAATACATAATGGCACACAAGAATACATGTAAACATCAGGTTTCGAACCCCGGCTCTATTAATTAACAAATGTATGCACACGACATACAAACTGTGGCACACGACTACATTCGGCCATGCACACGACATACAGACTAATGGCACACACTACATCTGTCCTCACAATCCTCTATAATATACTTGTCCTCATTTGAACGCAAATCTATATATATATATATATATATATATATATATATATATATATATATATATATATATATATATATATATATATATATATATATATATGCTTGAGTTCAAATAATGACAACAATATATAGAGGACTGTGCAGACATATAATAGGCACACAACAAATTAATATCAGGCACACAATTTAATACATAATGACACACAAGAATACATGTAAACATCATGTTTTGAACCTAGACGCTATTAATTAACAAATGTATGCACGCGACATACAATCTGTGGCACACGACTACATTCGGTCATGCACACGACATATAGGCTAATGGCACACACTACATCTTTCGTCACAGTCCTCTATAATATACTTATTCTCATTTGAATTCAAGTATATATATATATATATATATATATATATATATATATATATATATATATATATATATATATATCTACTATACTAATAAGAGCCCAAGAAAGTTAGGCCTATAATGGGTAGAAAAAATGGCGGTCACAGATTTTAATCAAATGAATGGCTCAGATTGATTAAAAGATTGATCAGATTTAAATTTTACACTAAAATTTCCTAAAATACCCACACACTGTTACTAATTCCGTTAAAATTTTAAGAATTGCCGTTAGTTCACCGTTAACTTACTCATTGATTTCAATAAAAAAATGGTCTTAGGTTCGAACCTCATCCCAATCAAAGTTGACATAATTAGTACTCTATTTTACTCTTATTAAATTATATATTATATATAAATAATAATTTAGTAGTTACAACAAAAAATAATACATATGCATTTCTTTAATTTAGAATTATGTGTTCACAATGTCTTTATTCAAAAAAAAAAAATTATTCATTATCAATAAATTAAATAAGATAAATAATTTTATTAGTTATATTGTCTTTATTTTTCTTCAATATAAAAATTCTTTATATTCAAATTTATTAATTGATTATATTCGCTACATTGTCCTTACAATGTCTTTATTCAGTGAAAAAAAAATTATTAATTAAAATAAATTAATTAAAAGAAATATTTTCATTAGTTATATTGTCTTTATTTTTCTCAAATGTAAAAATTTTTACATTCAAATTCATCAATTGATTATATTCACTACATTATCTATTATCTTTTTTGTGCACTATTTTTCTAATTAAATATCAAAGTTATAACATAAAATAATGCTATATATTTATTTACCAAGTATTTTATTAATACCATGAAAAAATTAAAAAAAATATAATTAATAAAGCCAACTATATTAACTACTTGAGAGATTTTGTGACAAAGAGAATATTCTAAAGTGAGAACTACCTCGCAATGTCCTTGTTTGACAATCAGCAGTTAGCGAATTATACTAGCGGATTTGACCAGCGAATTTATTTAATTATTAACATTGGGTAGAAAAAATGACCGCCAAATTATTAAATCAAATGAATGGTTCATATTGTTCAGGTTTTAATTTTTTTCTTTTAAGATTTTCTAATTTATCCTTAATTATATGATTATCCATTTAACTTTTCCGTTAATTCACCGTTAGTCTAATTCTAATATTAAAGTCTAATATAGAATTATAACTACATCATTAATCTAATTCTAATATTAAAGTCTTAATAGAACTTAACCACAAATCCTAATGTCGGAATCTCCTCAAACAATATTAGTATATATTTCATATTTTATACCATAATTTTTATTTGTTCTCCCTTATGTCCCGTATTTGGTTTCAACCATACCTATACAATTATTTTATTGACAATTATAATCAATATTGACTATATTATCTTGCATTTGTAAAATTAGAATTACCTATTTAACCCGCACGGGCTTAGCTCAATGATTTAGTGGGTAGTATTTGGGAGAAGAGACCAAGTTTTGAACCTCGGCGGCGGCAATG